TTTTTAAGCGGAATCGGTCACGTGACGGGGGAAAGCGTGGCTTGACGTGTGTCAAGCGTGACACAGACGGATGTAACGGAGAATCCGGTAATTTTTCAAAATAAAACATCTTTCGTATTCCGAAATAAAACGGAATTAAGGCAAGTTCTTTCTGTGCGGCCCGGTACCAAATGCCCTGCGGACCGGTACCGGTCCGCGGACCGGCGGGTGGGGACCCCTGATCTAGGAGATGCAATCAATTAATCATTTAGACCACTTGTATCATGAAAAATCGTCCAAATGCTCAAAACTTCAGATTCTCAACAGTAAATATTCAATTGCTGTTGTCCTGTTTTTTTTTCCAAAAAAAAAATAAAACATATGCTTTTACTTTGGAAACCATGAACAGCCTATTTTCTGACATATTACAAACCATTTTTTAAAAATGTTATTGCAGATAATTCCTAGAGAGACGAGAGAGAGCCTGCTAAGACATCTGATGCACATTTTCCTGGTGGTTGATTTAAAAACCACAGATGAGTAAGGAAAGAGGGGGGAGGGGAACAAACCAAAAAAACACTTCAAGCACTTGCAGATGAAGCCAACTAACAACCATGAGGTTCCTCTAGTATAAAACCATTTCTCCACTGGGACAGTGTCGGGAGCTCACCTACAGAGTCAAAAGGGTAGCGAACATTCAATACACTTTGAAACCAACACGCTTGAATCAATGGCTGCGGTCTGCAGCTCAACCATTTGTAAGACATGGGTGGCGTGTACACAATGAGAACAAAGAGGGAATGGGAGAAGGTGACCGGGCTGCTGTCCGTCAGAGATACATGTGACAGGTTTATATCAGCCGTGGGGGAAGGTAACACACAACATCACAACAAGGAGCGATAAACGTCAGGCCCCGGTGTCGTGCTCCTCTCTGACAAATGGCGCATTAGCTCATCTTGCAGCCAACACGGACACATGGCACTTTTCGTGCCTACACCAGTCAATAACCATGTCGACACTACACACAACCTGACATGGATGCGCCCTACCTTTCCAACAAAAAGCAAGGATAGGTTCAATAAGAGAATATGTGCAACCCGAGTAGAAATATTTCAAAGCTGTCAGAAGAGAATGGTAGCATGTTGTCGTAAAGACTAAGTTTTATAGATTTTTTTTTTGTATTAGCAAGGGAGTTACACAACCCAGCCGCTGGGGGGCGGGCCCTCCCCTGGGGGTGCACTGTTTCCCAGTGCCGGTCCCAAGCCCGGAGAAATGGGGAGGGTTGCGTCAGGTATGGCATCCGACGTAAAACTTTTGCCAAGACGACCATGCGAGTTGGTAGGACGGTTTACAGGGGCGGATGGAAATTACTGACTCGCTGTGGCGACCCCTGAATAGGGACGTGCCGAAAGGAGAAGAAGAAGAAGAATTAGCAAGGGAGTTACACCATTCAATGTAATAGAGTGGAATTTATAGCATGAGCAAAAAAACATTAGTAGAACACACACACACACACACACACACACACACACACACACACACACACACACACACACACACACACACCAGCTAAAGGTGTTCTAAAGTGATTTGGAGTCTTGTTTTGTGTGCCAGAATAATATATGTAGCCTCAAAAAGACACTTCGGTGCACTTTCACTACCAAATAAAATATCCAACACAGGAGTATCAACACTTTTCTTTCCAAATAAAAGTGATCAGTTTTGATTGACATCTCAAAGTTCTTTAAATATTTGATATCGTCTGTAGTGTAGAATTGTATTGTACTCCTGGCACAGACAACTATCTTTGTCAAGACAAATTGATATATTTGCAGATGTACTTAATGTTGCAGGAGAACACAAACAAATTTGTGCACATTTACATAATACAGATCGATGCAAATGTGGTCACCTTGGACGTACACGTTAGTCACTTTGTATCGCTCCTCGAATGTTATGTAATACCATTAAGTTATCTCAGAGACCGTTCCTGTTTTTTTTCTCCAATTTGATAGGTCAGTTTCCTGTAATGACACTCACAGTACACCCCACAAAGTGGTCATGATAGGAACATGGTGGGAATACCGTATATTCCTAATGTAGCTATCTTGGCTCAACAACAAAATGAACTCGCACGTATGTGCACTGGCTGGTGAGAATGTGCAAAGGTTTCTAGGAATACAGCAAAAACCAAAACATCTGGCCACATTTAAAAGGGGCAACTATCATCTGTCAAATGACACAGACCCAAAGACTGGCCTGACTGGTTTTGCTTTGAAGTGGCATGTGGTAAACTTTCATCGTGTGATATATGTTGAATCTGAAACTTTGTTCCCGTCATCAGTGCAGTGGCTCACTCCTAAATGGCATGCTCCACTCGCTTCCAAATGGAGCCACATTCCCCACATGAAAGGAACATGATAAAAAGCAGCGCAGTTCCAACAGTAATTGTGTATTTTAAATCTGATTCTTGCATCTACTTCAAACTCATCACATGGATCTGACATCTGGAGAGGAGACCTTTGCGCCGAGCTACAGGCCCCATTTACTTGATGATTGTGTCTCCCCACCGACACGGTGCCCTTCAGCAAGGTCACGGCATGCCAGCAACACTTTTGAATGAATAAATGATTGCAGCACCTTTTCATTTGGGCATCTCATGCCGTTTGGATGCTCCTAACGCAGAAGTCCCAAAGCAGGGGGGGACACTGACGACTCTCGTTCATTCCCTTGAACGTTACGTAAGACTTGTGTGGCACACACATCAAGGCCGAGTTTTAATCAGTCCCAAAGAGAGACCATGTGACATCATATGCAAAAGAAGCACAATTTCCCTAATTATAGATCCACATCATATTTCAACAACTGTGTATGGGCCACACTATCCTTGAGCGGGAAAGGTCAAAATGTACATAAAATGAGTAACTGGGAATTGTATCTGTTCATTAGCCATGTATTATTCTATATCTATGCTCTTTTACTTTCTGTGACAGAATTCTTCTGGCATACTTTCATTCTGTTTTCAATTTGCCTTTCTTCTGAGCTTCATTTTTACCCTCTTTCATTTGAGACCTGCCACAACATGGGGCTATGAAATACTGAGCCACAAAGATATCAAAGCAATTATTTTTCCGTTTGAGCACCAAGATATTCTTAAAAAGTAATAATACTGGACAGCAGTGCCTTACAAAAGAAGGATCGGTACGTCGATATTATGTGTCAACACTTGTTTTGGAGAAGCTTGAGCCTGTGGTAGCTGACTTTGGGCGAAGAGCAGAGTACACCCTGTACTCAACCTCAAGGCAAACATGTTGATACAAGACAACTATTAACATAATCATTCACACCTAAGGTCTTCCATAACCCAAACTAACAGCTGTGTAAAAAACTTACAGCTCTGTAAAATGATTAGCTTCTCTGATTTTCTTATTTTGCTGGGAATATTTGAAGAAAATGAATACAGTCTTTCAAAATGTATTTGCAGGAAAAAGAATGTCATCTAAACACTGAAAAAGGTCCAGTGTTTGATCTCTTCATTTTTTTTAACAGAGCTGTATTTGTTTTTGAATGCGAGACAGAAAAGCCAGCTGGATATTCCAAACATCCTTTTGTGAAAGTGACTCGTCTCTTACCCGTGTCCTGTCGAAACTGATGCATTGATTGCAGGTCGATGATGTATGGAGATAGCTGGCCATCTACCTGTCCCAGAACTGCGGTTCCTCGGGCATCACCCTTCAGGATGTTCTCAATATGGTGGCACACCGCTGCACTATAGGGCCTCCAGCGCCCATGTTCGTTCATCCACTCCCAGACCACCACTCTGGCCAGATTCTGGGGAGGGTAGCCTAGCCCATTTGTGGGAAGCAGTAAGCCTGCACCAGGGCGAGCCATTGTCCCTGGCAGGTTAGACAGAGAACCACCTGTCAGTCAAATTTCACTCCGGAACATTGCCATCAGTGCCACACTGGAACCAGCTTAGCTCAGCGACTTCAGTGGTCTGCTTTCAAGCAAGCAGCCTTGCAAGGTCCATGATCCTCTGCTGCTTTCCGGAGCAGGCTGCCTATGGCTTGTTGCGGGCTCCTTGATCAACAGAACAGCAGCCTCCAGGGTCCGACGTGGCAGATGTTAATGAGGAGCTGCAGCAGTTGCTCTTCAGGAGCAGGCAGATGGGGAGGGGTGACTTGCTGTAAGATAACAGGAAGGTGCACTGTTAACAAATGCTGAGTTATGTCTTTTTGAGACACAGTTGTATCCATAGCATGGAACCACTGTGTCTACTTTAAGGACATCAATGTACAGTATTCCATGCAGCGACTCCGTCTTCACTGTTTATGAGCTGCATGAAGGGGAAAAATATTGATGATCTTCAGGTTGGAGTGGGGTGACTGATGCTATCAAGAGCCTAGCAAAGAGAATATCATTTTGCCAAGACAATGTAATTAGATTTGTACAGAAAATGAGTCTGACTGAGACGATCCAGATACAATGCCGCATGTTGGGCTCATTTAGCATGCACTGTCGTTACGTTGAATTCATAATGCCATACAGACCTGTAGGTTGCAGATGTGGTGCCTCACAGCTGTCAAGCAGCAGCTACGTTTCACTGGCCCCGCTTTAAAAAAAAATCACAAGGATAAAACGGGGGCGGGGGGCTAAGAGTACGAAAATATTCCAAGCAACGCGATGCTTCATAATACATTTGTTGATGTGAAAAATGTCAAAACGGTCTTCTACAACCGCTCACCGCAACAGCCGTCCAACATTAACGCAGAAAAAAAGGAGTCGTCGCTCCTTTCGTGTCGCTTGTTTGCTTTGCCAGTTTGCTGCCCCGCAGTCCTCGAGTGCCTCGATGTGCCACTAAGTCAGCCGCGGGGACGCGAGAAGTCACCGTCCACGCGCAAAAGTCCGGCTGACATCACATTTTCCCAGCCTCAAACAATTACAACGAGCTGCTCGAGCGCACCTGTACGTTGAGTGGTTGAAAATTTGGTCAAGCTCTCAAGTACGTACCATATAAATGATAAATCCGTTTCCGAAAAATTATTTCAGAATAAAAGCGATTGGAATTTGACTCATATCTTTTTTTTTTTTTTTTATGTTTAATTATTATGATTATTCCAAAAGTGGCTATTATCCTGTAGCTATCAAAATGACGTTAGATCGTTCAGTATGTATGATATTCAGTCTAATTTTAGCTGGGTTTTTTGCTCTCATTTTTTTGGGAGGAAATACACGTGAGTGAATGTGCGTGTTTGTACGCGCACGTGCATGCGTGCGTGTGCGCGTATGAAATCATATGAGACTGATTATTATATTGATTATTCCCAAAGCATGAATGATGCATAAGGTATATGCATAACTAAGTATGTAATGAAAGTGAGGGCAATTGAGCGACATGGAACATTCAATGTGATAAAATCTTGGCGCATCGACCTCAATTCCAACTCCGGCCTCCCTGTGTGGAGTTTGCATGTTCTCCCCAGGCCTGCGTGGGGTTCTCTGGGTACTCCGGTTTCCTCCTACATTCCAAAAACATGCATGGCAGGCTGATTGAACACTCTAAATTGCCCCTAGGTGTGAGTGTGGCCGCGAATGGTTGTTCGTTTCTGTGTGCCCTGCGATTGGCTGGCGACCGGTTCAGGGTGTCCCCCGCCTACTGCCCGAAGACAGCTGGGATAGCTCCAGCATCCCCCGCGGCCATTGTGAGGATAAGCGGATCGGAGGATGGGTGAACAAAATCTTGATTTTTCTTTCACTCAATATTTTACATAGTTTACAATCAAATACCAGCACATGGGCAATCGATTGCACATGATTAGGTAATGTGCATACACACCATTGCGTACACACCACGGAAAGTCCAGCGAAGCATTTTTATTAAAAAAAAATCAAATTCACCAGAATTAAACGACGAGTGTCTAATGATCAAAACCCCTGAAAATGCTCGTGTTCACTGAACATTAATATAGGTTTAGTTTTCAAATGGGCCTACTCAAAATGTGAATGGGAGAAACAAGACTGTTTTTTGGTTTATATTTTGTATTTTAGATTAGATTAAATAAATCACACAAATATTATCATATATTGTCTTCGTGGGTAAACATGCGCACGCGCCCGCGTGTGCGTGTTCGTGTGTGTGTGTGTGTGTGTGTGTGTGTGTGTGTGTGTGTGTGTGTGTGTGTGTGTGTGTGTGTGTGTGTGTGTGTGTGTTTTCAAGGAATGGGGAGAAGAGACGATGGAAAATAAATATGCTTTTGTGGTGGTTTGATGGATGAGAAAAACTAGTACTGTAGTCTATACTAGTTTAGAATATATAGGCTGCAGCAGTGATTCTCAAATGGAAGTACGTGCATCCCTCGGCGTACGTGAAGGCACTTTAGGGCATCCACGCAAAAAAAAACAAAACAAAAAAAAAAAACGAGCTTGATCACAGCTGTTACCTCCCTGCCTCTAAAAATGACACTCATGCTCAGTGAAGACGTTCAAGTGCCTCACTACCTGCGACCAGTACTGGGTCAGTAAACTGTAATTGATAACAGCTCACTCGTGACCCTAATGAGGAAATGAAAATGGATGGATACTGGATGAAATGACCATGCCTACTTGGAAATACATTGAAAGCTATGATGGCCTGCCAGATTTTTTTCCTTGTTACAGTAAGAAGCACGTTTCTACATGTGGAGAATTTTATTTTATTGATTTTTTAACTTTCACAGTTGAATAAGGTCGTGTCAGCCCTTGAACACACTTCTACTCAGTGCACTAGCTTGTTGGCTGTTATTGCTGCAGTAGCACCATCTTGTGGTCGTATAATTAACAAAACAGCAGTCACATGGTTAATCATGGAACTCGGCGAGCGCTTACCTTCCAACATTTTTCGATCACATGATCAGTGTTAGCCGTTCTGCCGTTGTTGGGGTTCGAGATTGTGAAGATAAACTACTGTATTTGAAACTGAAATACGATGAGACTGATCCAAGTTGTGTGATGTCATGAGAAAACTAGCCTTTGTTTGGTTTGAAAATCAAGATAAACTGCTGAACATTCACTCTTTCATATGGATGTATATTCTATTTTCTTTACAGAAAATGCAGGAAACGTGTCCATATAGATTGAGGATACTGTCTTCAGAATGTACTCAATCACTTGCTCAGTCTTTTTAATCTCTGTAAAGTGTATGGGAGGACAAATACACAATAATGACAATTACATTGTAACATAATATTACACATACACGTTGGTTGTCATACAGTTCTACACCACTGCAATCTACCGTCAGCATAAAACAAATATAATTAGCTGAATATCTGTGTGACATTAAAACTTCAGCTCAATTTGATCTCGATATGTACACGAGTATCTCATAAAGGGTGTATGTACATCTTGCAATGTTTTGTCTTAATCATTGTAAATGTGTTTATTTCATTTTTTTAAATTTCATGCGTCGCATAGACAGATGCAGCATAACATTTTTTAACTTCTCAATTACAGTCCATGACAATAATAACAAATTTTATTACATAAAGTAAAATGTAAATTTTTTTTCATCAAGAAAAATTGCTGGCTATCGATGGCATTTATAATGCATGGAGTGAAGATTCTGATCACAGAATGATGTGAATGAAGAGAGCCATGATGGCAGCACTAATGAGACCTGAGATAGGAACAGTGACAAACCAGGCAAGAAATATGTTCCCGAACAAATGCCAGTCCACTGATTTCCTTGAGCGCAGCCATCCCACGGCAACCACGGATCCCACCTGCGGTCATATCATTTGACAACTGATAACTGAGACAACATTTGATTGAGGCATTCATTCAGCCACATAATTTTTTGTTTGCATTTTCATTACCTTGCAGTGTGTTGTGCTGACAGGAAGCCCAACATTGGACGCCACAACAACTGTTAGGGCGGAAGCCAGCTCAATGCTGAAGCCACTAAAATAGAAGATGATATGTAAACATGTTTCAACTATGTCACGTAATGATGAGTGTGAGGCACCAGAGTACTATGTCATACCTAGAGGGTGTTATGGGGGTAAGATCTTTGCCCATGGTCTGAATCACCCTGCGGCCCCATATCCAGAGTCCCATACAGATGCCTATTCCGCCATATAGAACTAGCCAGATAGGAGTCGGTGCATTGGATGCAACCGAGCCACTCTCATACAAAAGCCAGAGGGACACAAGTGGACCAATAGCATTGCTGGAGAAAAAAATATATGTTGTGTGTGATTCAGTAGCATATTCAGTAATAGCTGTAAATCACTAAACTAGGTATACTGTACTAACAATTCCCTGGATTACCTGACATCATTCCCACCATGTGCAAAAGAGCCAAAGCACGCCGTTAGTATCTGAAGGAACTGAAAAAGGGAGGAAACAGCTGCTTGGTCGAGCTCCAGCTCATCTTCCTCAGGAGGTTGCTCCCAAGTGGACTCCTGTGTCACACTGGCATCCTTCGCTGAATCTCCTCTGGCCACTGCTGAACTGTCGCTGCTGTAGCTGTTCACTCTGGACCACCTCCTCCCGTCATTATTGTCCTTGTTCTTAGGGTCTCCCTGAATGCCGTAAATGGCCATGGTGTAGGAGGTGTAGCTGTTGTTTCTCCGAATGGGCTGCTCCTCTGTGTCACTGTCACCAAGGCAGTCACCGACCTTAGCCATGTGTAGCTTGTGCAGCAGGTCTTTGTAAAGACCCGAGTCTTTCTGGATCGCGTGTAATCGTCCACTGTGGGGGTCTGTGATCATCATGGGACCAACATTGCTGTCTGTAAACGTAAATCATATCATATCATTTGCAAACTTTCCTATGGGTCAACTTACATGTAATCGATTTGACAACTTAAAATTTGCCTAAAATGTGAACTAATTCAGTCAATCCAATCTTTCTCACCATTGCTAGCATCCATGTCTTTGGTCTCCATCTCTAGATCAGCCTCTTCGGAACCTCCGAGTTTAAAAGCAACATTGTGACTGTCTTTCGGAGGGCTCTGAGGTGGAGGGTGCTGCGGTATTGATATGTCCACCACTTGAGCATGCTCATTAGTGTTGTTCTCCATCAGAGGAGTCTCACAGGGAGCAGCACCTAATTTTTCTTCTCAAGAATCACATGAGAGGTCTTCAGCTGCATGTACAAAAAGTGTGCAGTCCTTTGCGTTTTATTCATAAGATAAATACTCACGTTGTATTTTCCTCTTAAGGCGCGGACAGACATTAAACCAAACGACCAATGCTGTGATGACACCGCATCCTATCGAGATGCACAGTGTACCCCACCATGGCACCCTGTCAAATCCCAGCACTATGCAGAAAACGAACATAAGGCACATGTCCATCTTTGCATCTTTTATTAATTCACAAACAATGCCCTCTGTTTCTAAAGATGACACAGGTAAAAAGTATATTCTTTTGAATAGGTGAGAAAAGAGTGTTTTGTTTTGTTTTTTACAGAAGGCAGTTTTCCCATTGAATTAAAACAATATGTATTAGAAGTAGAAAAAAAGTGCTATTGACAGTAAACCAGTAATGCATGTTCCAGCAAACTAGTGTAAAACATTACGCCCCTCCGAGTTCATGACTTGATAAAGCTGCTGCATTTAGGTACAGTATACACTTTTCAGAATTTATGGATTACTTTTTGTGATCAAAAGTAAATCATGTCCTTGTTTTGCTTGTTTGGTGTTGTTACAGTCTACTGACAACAATATCAGTGAAAGTACAATTATCAAGAGGAGAAGAGACCTCTCCAAAAATATCAAATACACACATAAGGGAAAGATATTTACAGAAGTTTGATGCAATGACTAAAAGTAAGAGTTTTCTGCAACACTCTCACAGATGATAAAGGCTGCCTGCAGTGGACATGTGCACAGGCGTTATGGGGTGGGATAAGATTAGTGGAAAGAGGGCCACTCCTCTGTGACATAGCAATAGTTACTGTATGGTTTCTTACATTCCACAATGATGTATGTGCAGTGGAGTCACTCACTTGGTGCTCCTGTGAACATGATTGAGAAGAGGTTGATTGCCACAGTAAATGCGTAGAACAGTGGAAGAGCTCGGAGGCCATTGGGGAGCGGGTCAGCCTGCGGCATTAAATAGGTGAAGACTCGATAAATATATTTCTGTGTCAAGATTCTTTGCTGTAAAGCATGACATACAGGACAATTTGTACTAATTTGCTGCGTTTCTTTCAAAAATAGTTACAATTCCACCTTTACCAACCAAAATTGTCAAATCATTGCTGATTGCTGACTTTTCTACATTCAGAAACACGTGTCACTATAACAACAGGATTTTACTTTGCTGGGGATAGATACATACATGCCTTACAACAATACTGCTTTAAATGACAATGACTAAAGAAAATACCTTACCTTATTAAGAATGAATTTGCGAACAAAGTAAAAAAGAACCCCTGACAAGATGCCAGAGAGCACTGGTGACAGGAACCAGGAGGCCACTGCCCCCCCGCAAAAAAACAAAACAAAAATGAACAACAAAAACAACATATTCCTGAGATTTTAATAAGATGTCCAATTCACACATTGCATATGGGTAGAAAAAAATATATATACTGTATATATAATCACCTATACGGAGAAGCTCAACCCATTTGACCCCATGTTGACCTCTAGCTACCATGGAAAAACCTATTGTGGCTCCAACAATGCAGTGAGTTCCAGAAATGGGGAGCCTCAGGAATGATGCAGCCAATTGCCACACAGCAGAGCCTGTAAAAGCAGAACAAGGCCTGGATTCCAAGGGTGGGAAATGACATCTCCATTTCTTGATTCTAATTTCAGGTAAGCTCAAGTCATAAAAATAAACTACACTGGATTGAAGGCTTACCGCACATTGCACTTATTGACCCCACCATGAGGACGTGTTCAGAGCCGTTGTACATCTCGACGTCAATGACGCCCTTTCGGATGGTCTCACTGACTTTGGCCCCCAGCAGGACCGAGCCCACTGTCTCAAAGATAGTGGCCAGGACACAGGCCTGTCGCAATGTCACCACCCCGGAGCCGACAGCCGTACCGAAGGAATTGGCCACATCATTGGCCCCAACGGAAAAAGCCAGGACAAAGGCAATCACAAAGCCAAATATCAAGAGCCACAAGTAACCGGACATGTCCGACTGGGAGGCCAGAGCCACCGTGGTGGTGGCAACAGTGACGGCCACCAGTGTGGTTGAATCCATAATTGCCTTGAAAAGAAAGTTTAAATCATGAGTCAACTGAATGGAGTAGTATGCGATGGCTGGTGTAAAAATATTAAAAGTCAAGGAATCATGTACTACTGTCTAGGTACATATGGCTTGTCTACAGGAGTCCAAACAAGATGAAAGGCTATCTGGAAGAAGGGAATGGCATCCATTGTGACAGCGAACCTGTGGTGAGGTGTGCTGCAAAAACAGAAGTGCATGGGTTACTCAACAATAATGCAAGAGCCATAAATGGGTGTTTCTTACATTTACAATACTTTATCATGACCATAACATTGTACAAGTTTGATCATGATGACATGTTGATGTTACAGAGATGATTTAGAAATCGGGGGAAAAGGGAAGTTGTATTTGATAAAGTAAAAGTAAATGTCATTACTGGCGAGAGAAATTTAAAAGCATAACAGTAGTGTTATCTGTCTCGGCAGTTTTAGTGGTGGGTGGGGGATCAGGGAGGTGGTTCATTAGGTCACGCTTCTGGCTTCAGAAAGCATAACGCACTTTCATTCATGCCTAGAACGGCGGCAACAAGCCTAATGGCCTCACATCAGGTGACATTGTACTTGAAGATGTTTGAGAAACAGTAAACAGAAAAAAATGGTGTGTTGTATTTGATTTTGTCCGTTTGTCAAGTGGCTGCACATAATAGAATCCATCATCTGGATTTAGATTCATTTTTAAGTAGATGTATAGTCTATTTAAAAAAATGTATCTGGCTCCAGATGATTTTATTTTGTGCAACCACTGAATGAAATAATATTGAATAAATTCAACACACCATTTTTTCAGTGTACTCTCATGTTGGAATTATACTGAATGGAGAAGGTTATCTTTGTATCAGTTTGTCTGTGACATTTTTGTAATGATAGTTGTAGTGGAACTACACCAACACTGTTTCTGCTACAAAATAAAGTGCCTGAGAGCCGTGAATAAACGATTCTTTCAGAGTGCCAGAAGTAACCATCAAAATAAAGAGTAGTGCTATTTTAATCTCATTAACTGTTCTTGCATAACACAGAATGAGTAATATGACGGCAAAACAAACAAACAAACAAACAAACAAACAACAAAACTAAACACTTTTGACTTACATTTGAATAAAAAGCTTGTACTCACATTTGAACCAGGAGTGAAAGTTGACTCTCTTGGTTGTGTGTCCCACGGTTAGGAGCAAACCAGCTTCTTCACCAGCAGTGGCTATGCTTGCACTGTAAGAAGTTGCCTGCCAGTCTCCAGTTTATATACTGAGGAGGTTGAGTACACGCCTTTTCAGTGTGGTCATGAGACTTATGCTGCCCGAAACTCTTTGTTTCTTTGTTCTCATTGTAAAAAATAATGACAGTGTTCATCAAGGAGCATCTGCGGAAAAGATCGTGGAACCCAATTTTGTTTCCCAAAAAATTTATTTATATAATTTACTCTAACATAATAAACACACAAAAATAATAACACAAAAATTTATGTAATTTAGGCTTAAGACTTGAATCTTAAGGGGTAATTTTGCATTACAAAGCAGCCCATCTTTTTGAAGGTACTTTAGTACATTGAGTGTTTCTTTTCATTAGATTCTAGTGGAGTAAGAGGTCATCATAGTATATATCAGTATAAAATAAAATATCAATCACTGTATTTTATTAGAGAAAGAGCCCTAATGACCTTGATAACAATAAATATACACATTTATCAAATTGTTTTGTCATTGGTCCAGGAAAAGATTTTGATTCCCCTTCACATCACAGGAACTATGTTCTGTCATGAGAGTTATAAGTATCTCTGTCCTATGCAGACAAGTACTGTATAATTCTGTAGACTAAGCAGTGAACAAATGCCTGTATGGATGATTAATGTGATGTATGTGTAGCTATGGAAAGAATGATGCCATTTCAAAATGTCTAACTGTTCAATCTGTTATTCACTAATGGCTTTTAGAGAAAAAAAAAAAAAAAACTACCGGTCTACTCAAGTTCACTGCGTGTCATCAAAATTTATTTCCGAAATGCAACGGTGCCTCCGAATCTGCTGATAGCTTCCTCCTTATTACTCATTTATTGAATGCATGTTTAGGTAGGTAAGAAATAATGAGCTGTGTGGAGGATGTGACCTCCTCTAAAGGCCAGTGATCCTCGACTGAGACTGACACGTTGAACAGTTTTAACTGTTAATGTGTATTCTAAGTCACTTTGAACAGTATTTGAGCCTAAAATTAGGTAATGTTGGTAATTAAACAGATTTTGCCCACGTATTTACTTCTGTTTGCTGTCGATAAACACATGCAAATATCACAACTGAGTTTACTCGGTTTTCATTGCGCCCATATCTAGGTCAATCAAGCTTCTGTTGTTTTCCCATTGACGATTGTGTTTCCTGGAAGATTTGATATTCTGAAATTGGAGATGACACACGATGTGATTTGTTGACATTATTGTAATTATGCTTTCCTTAAATTTGGCCAATTTCCCTGGATTATACATTTACAATGTAATTGCCACTGAGTGATCATCTTTTGTTGCTAATGAGTCAAATACAATGAGCATTTGCTTTGCAGTATAAGGAGGATATGTTTAAAACAGTTTAATGCCCTATTACGTTTTTCAATGTTCCGCATTAATGTATCACGATAAAGTATACAGGCAATACAGTTGGTATTTATTTGATCATTTAGCTCTTACAGAAATTTCCAATAATCACTCGCCAGATATAATAAGAGGATTAAATGTTCTTTTTATTCACGATGTCAGAGAAGTATACTTTTAAATCTATTTTTATCAATGTAGACATGGTTTAATCTCAAACACAACCTCTTTTTTTAATCGAATTGTATTCACCTTGGTGCAATGAATGTAAGTGCCTCTGGATGGTGCTAGAGCATAGAGTCGGAATCCCCAAGGCAACCCGTATTCCAAGTAGACAGCCAACTTTAGCACTTTGTGATGATCAGCAGCAGTCCTCTATTGAGTACCTTGTTTCTCATATGTGATGTTGGAGGTGAATTTTTTTTTTTATTTTGACGGGAGTTTGAGCCATTTCCATTCAAACATTTCACTTCTTAAACTGTGACACATCATTCATGAAACCCCACTGTTTGAAATATATGGAAAAATATGAATGAAATACAAACTAAGGCATCATTAACCTATTGAATGTGATCATATTTAAGGCCAGACAAGATAGGGCATGCAAATAAGTAACCGAAGTGCACGGCTGGTTCTCAAGCCCAACCCTTCCATTCCCCTCTTCCCTCCCTCCGATCCCTTGCCAAACAGGATCTGTAGGATCTCACAGTCATTTTCTCAGGAGACAGGAATGTCAGAACACAAGATCTTATGCATGTTTCTACACGTAGGCCACATTCCCTCATATTTACAGTAAAAAGTCCAGAGTGTGTGGTTCACACATCTATTTAATTTCCACTTTGTGGCAACACCTATGTAAAACACCACGTGTGCACCGGACGTGTCCCAGACACACACTGACTCACTGGACTTGTCTGCGGCACTGCCCTTCCCAGTTTTAACAAGATCAACAATACTCACATTCCCAAAAGAGTTTTCTGCTTGATGTTTTGCTTCTATTAAAATAAAGACATAAATAAATAATTACCCATATCATGGGTATGTTGTGAATGAGAAGCTTTGTGTCCTTACAAATAAAAACAAACAAACTAAAAAAAAAAAAAATCTTTATTTTACATTTTTATTTTTTTTCCAAAGTCTTCAAAGCCTTTTTAAGGTCTCTCTTTTGTGTCAGAAATGTAATCACAAAAATACATATCAAATATAGGCCTGCCATGTAAACCATAAAATGAAATTAATATAAATATAATGCAATGAAATGCAATGTGACATGACAAGAAACAAACATGGGAAATGTGAAGGAATTATTTGATGATTCTTCAATCATACCAGTTGGTAGGCTGAAGAAAGAAATGTAATGATGCTACAATTGCCTGCATCTGTGAAGGCACATAGTGGTCCAATCTGACATCACCCTTAAAAACTGCCCATTGGTCAACAAGCGGCGTGAAAAACTTAATATGTCAAAAGTCAATTCCCTGCTGAGGTCGGAGGTCAATTGTGAGTTAATTTACAGACCAATGACTGGAGGCTGGTGGCGATTTGCTCACAGATTCTTTCACGGATGGATGTGGGCTTTGTATATAGGCTGGTGAGTGAGTAATGCTCGGACTGCTGGGGGGTGTAGATGAGCAGGAGGAAGACTTGGACTTAATCTGCAGCCACTTATCTCCCAAGGCCTTGGCAAAGTGGTCATCGACTGACACGCCGATAGACAGCTGCTGGGAGTGAGTTTTCTGGTAATTCGCACCAAGGCTCCTCTGGAAATGCTCCTCAACCACATGGTCATAGTTGCATTTGGAGATTACTGAAACAGGAAACACATAAAGATAAAAAAGTTGAACACAGTGCCTCCAGTGGGTTTGTGCGAGGGTAGGTATATTTTCATTATTTGTGATGCACGATCAAGTGTATGGGTGCTCAAATCAGAAGAGTGAGACGGACCTGATGACTGACTCTGGTGGACATCGGAGCTCCCGGCGGGCTTTCTTAATGAAGAGACACAAGTGATGACAGAGGGACGTATCTGAAAAGAAATGTATGGTGATGGTTATTTAAAAATAAAATGCTGGTGTGACCTTTCCGGGTTCATAACAATGCAACTCTATGTAGAAATCCCCTTCGATTTCCATAGCATTTCTTTTGAAATGATATTCACTCAATTGTATTTCCATCATATTTCAGGAGTGATATCGCATTCGACGATAAATATAAAATCTCTCAATCTTTCAAAAATAGTTTATGAATTTAACCTGAAGACAAGATGATTTGAGAACTGCTTGAACTGGTTTGCCAACAGAGAACAGATCCCACCCGCAGTACATAAACAGATAAAAGTCAGAGCTTTTTGTTTGGTCTTGTTGATGGGATTCTTTCCCTTCATTGCTCACATTTTCTTCCTGAATCTGGATGGGTTGCATAGCTTAGACAAGCTAGAGCTTGCGTGTGTACAACTGGATTCACTGACTGCACAAGATGTACCACACTGGTGGTTATCCTGGAACTATGCTGAAACTGGAATGAAATAAAGTGTATTCTACTGTGTATTTGCCATAGGTTACGACACCCTCATTGACCTTGAAATTATATTTCTTTTTCCCCCAATCCCTTTACCTGCATCTGACTTGAGCTGGCGTTTTTAGTTTTCTCTTTTGTGGTCTCTGGGTCCTGGTCCTTTCTTGGTTTCTTGATGAGGGCAAGAGGTTCATCAGTGACTGGGGTGTAATACACATGAGAGGGCAGAGGGCTGGTTGAACTGGGTGTTGGGCTCCAGGTGGAAGTGGGACTTTGAGGGCTAGTAATCATGACTGTTGGTGGTACTGGTGGTGCTGTTACAGTTGCTCCTCTCTGCGTAGCTTTCCCATTGTTTCTCCCTAGCACCCGTTCGCGCCTGAAATAAATGAACAAAAAAATGGTCATATTACCATGAGAAATGTTGTAAACAAAAAGTGTGAGCTTGAATGCGAACACTACACCAACCTTTCCTCCAGAGTGAGACATCTATCGTGGCTGCGCTTGCGTTTGGGATACACCGTGGGGGTCTGAGTTCGTTCATTTGACATATGTCTGAATCTGTCTTCACTTCTCAGATGAGGCTGACCTGAAAAAAAGAAAAACATTAAGAATGGGAAGCCGTTGCACAATATGGCATATATTGTAATCATTTCCTAAAAACAAATTCGGAATTGGGACGTGTGAATTATGGGACAACTTTCATTTAACAGTCGAAAAGGGCTGCTTGTTTTGATCCACTGCTTGTATTTTTCCCGGGTTCACCGTTTATAGCAAACTCCGTTAAGTTGCAAAACTCGATCGACCTGATCTGTGAGCGTTACAACACGACACAGCTGATTTAATGCTAACGGTAAATGTTGTTTTCCTGCTTAATACTGGCATTTGTCCCGGTCACGCCTTCAAAGGGGCAATCAACACATTTTGTAATGATGGAGGAATACACTTTTATCATACAGTGAATTTCATCTGAGACACCAGGTGACACATAGCGGCGACAATTGAATATAATTCTGTTACACTTTGGTCATATTTATAATTTGATAATTTGTGTCATGAATACATGTGTCATGTTATGCGACAGTGTATTCGGTTTGCCCTCATGTTGTGAAATGACTTGCAGAGTAAATCATAGAATGCGTATTGAGACGTTTTCTTTGGCTACTGTTTATACCGGCTGCTTTGTTAACACGTTCAAATTCACATTGATGCCAGTCCTTCAACTATATTCAAATCATGCAGTTAGTGCGACAAAAGAGAACTAGCCTGCCACAAGCTTAGTGATTCAAATACAATGGAGGATGATCTATTTTGCATTGTATAAAAGGCTGTTCACAGAGCTTTAACGCTCCCTACACCTGTGAGCTACTCCCTGCCATTGTGGAGGGAGGGAGGTGGGGGCAGGTTTAACCACACCTTTGCTGATTTTCTACAGCCTCGGGCATGGATATTTTCCCTCATTAGGAAAGGAATAGGGTGCATTACTCTTTCATTTGTTCAGTCAGTGACGACTAATCACAAAGAGCCAATTCAGGTTTAACATGACAACACAGCTGAGAGGATCTAATCTTCGACATATGGTCAGCATTATATTCTGTTTCCTTAGAAAACACACGACTTACAGGATATGATGTGACGGAAATATAGCAATGACAATTTAACTTTAAAATTTTAAATGATGTTTCTGTGATAGTCGTGTCAAAATGACACCGCTCAACCATAAATTGTACTGTATGAAGGATTTAAAAGCAAAGAGCGAAGCTTACCCTCTAAAATGTAGACCTTGAAGCCGCTGCTCATGCGAGTAATATAGTGGAAGTTTGCCACAGCCATGTCTGCTTGCCTTTTTTTCAAGTACAGTCCAAGACAGAGAGTAAACACCTGGGTGCTCGACAATGCGGGACAAAATGAGCCTCAGTGGTGGACTGTGCTGGAAAAGTAGTGAGATTGTGGGTCTGCGCTCTCAGCCAGGTAGCGTATCAGGTGAGTGCAAACAGAGGATGATGCTTCCCAGGGACACATTCCCTACATTCCTATTGGCTACTGGGAGAGCCAATCAAAGGCTCCACATTACATTGTGTTTGTTGTTTTCCTTCAGGAGGAAAGCAGGCACAGGTTGAAGATTGGGACTCGAGCTCCGAGGCTGGTAAATGTCAGAATGCTGGTGTTTAAATTAGAATTAGTATGGCACCCTCTTCTGCATAAATTACACTCAAGAATAGATATTAATTTGTCCTTGAGACATGAAGAAAGTGAACTGAAGCTTTTGTGCCCCCCACCACCTGCGCC